AAAATGATCGGCAACCCCGTCGAATGTCGGAGCCACCGCGAACCCGAAGACCCCGCCTGGAGAGGAAGGCGTATCCCGATGATGCTCCACCCGGCTGAGAATCCCACTATTCGACGGGAAGCAGGACGCTCAGGCCGCACGGCGGTGTGGAGTCCCTGCCAAGGAGGAGGCCGACGGGATTAAAGAGCTAGGGTTTTTTGATAATTTGGGGGAAATGAGTTTTAGAGAGAGAAAGAAGGTGGGGCGCGATTACAAAGGGTGTGATTGTTTATTGTTTCAACTAAAAATACTAATCAAAACTCAAATTTAACTCAACTTTAATTCAACTCCACTATCCTCAATATTATCAATATAATTAAACAATATCAACCAATCATTCTTACACATCACATCAACTTTAATTCACTATTCATCAATTCTTATAATTTTAAGTAACCATCGTTTCTAATCATTTTTCTCCTATTTTATATTAAATCAACTTTAATTATTTTATTTAAATATTATTTTAATATATCCACTAACAACTAACCATATCATATTTTTTTAAAATTAACTATAGTTAAAAAACAAACCAAATAAAAACTAGTTGAATCCATAAACAATCACCCCAAAAATGACTCAATAAATTTTAAAGCTTGAATTTTGACACATAAATTTACTAACCATTTTTAAACAATTTAGATGACATTAAGGCCCAATAAGGCAATGGGAGAAATACTGTCAGGTGTAGCTAGTGTCACGGTGTCACCATAAATTGAAAACAATTTTTTAAACTGTGCAGATGACATTAAGGCCCACTAAGGCAATAAGCCCAATAATTTTAACAACCATTTATTGTGACAGATCCAACTGGTTTTAACAGGTTCGAGCGGTTTTAATTTGTTTTGGACCCCAGCGGTTCCATACCACAAATCGAACCAGTGTATTGGCCGGTTCCCGGTCGAACCGACCGGTCCGATCCGTTTTTGAGAACCTTGGCATAACTCATAAGTTTCTAAAATTGCAACAAAGTTCCCAAAAGTTATCTAATTTTCAAAATCAATCCTTCCTCAAATCCAAAATTTGCCAATTCCAGTTTTGAAATATTCTTTCCCGTGGTCGTCTTCTTCGGAAAATCCCTCGGCCCTTTTCAATGGCAACCACAATATCAGTCACTTGTAGCTCGTTTAACTCGCAGCTAACTATTACAAGGGTATAGCGCGTCTGATTCAACTCGCCGGAGTCTTCGCCCTACACCTCACCGGAGTCTTTGCCCTGCACCTCGCGCGTCTATTACGATCAGCCGTTTCTGATAGAAACCCTAGATTCATTTCCTGTATGTTGTTCAACTCGCCAGAGTCATTCCCTACACCTTGGCTGTGAGCCGCCCGACCGAAGACCTAGAGCGGGTGACCTACCTCGCTAAACTGTTGTTCAACTCGCGCTTGGCAGGCGACCTGGAGCGGGTGGCCGACCTCGTCAAGCTCGTCGGAAGTCCCTGCTCTTCTCTCCCGTTGCCCGCGAAGAGATCCGAGCAGGCCGGCCGAGAAACGTGGTTCTCGGCACCGACAACACTATGAAAATCCGGCAGAAATGTTAACCGGTCCATGGTCGCCAGCCGACAGTCAACACGGGTCAACGACATCCGGCGACCGATCAACAATTTATTAATTTATTTATTATATAATTATTTGAATATAACAACTAAAATTTTTCATTATTTAATTAATAAATTTTCTAATTAATTAATATTAATTTATTTATTATATAATTATTTAAATATAACAACTATTTTTTTATTATTTAATTAATAAATTTTCTAATTGATTAATTTGAACCATTNTTGTGTGTATGACATCCACACAAAAAATGTAGACTTTTCTAGGATTTTCAGTATCCCAACACTCCTTTTAACACACGAAATTCCTCATCAGAATTGCGAGTAGATGAGCACTAAGACCATCTCCAACCGAATACTCCATACTCAAACTCATTTTGTAGTAACTATCTCATTTTGCAGTAATTCATCTCCAACCGAAAAACTCATTCTCCAACCCAAAAGAATATTCTCGAAATATTCTCTTTTACATCAACTTTTACAACTTTTAAATACTACCCACATATTTTATAATTTTACAAATTAAACCACACTATTATTTTCAATTCAATTTGGACTTTATGTAATAAACTAAGGCCATCTCCAGCCCTTATATCTATTCTAGCACGGACTTTACTCTACTCTAGAGTAGAGTTGAACATTCATCTCCAGCCCTTATCTCTACATTTTACTCTACATTAAATATATTATTTTTGTATTTATTTTAAAAATGAATTGTAATAAATTGATTTTCTTAAAGAAGATACATATACATCTATGTACCGATTCAAAACTGTTACTTTTGAAAATATATGAATTAGTGCAAATTTACACACTAGACCATATATGGTTTAGACCATATATGAATTAGTGCAAATTTACACACTAGACCATATATGGTTTAGAGCATAAAAAAATAAAAAATTATTTATAGTCATATTATTTGTCAAACTATTTATCACATATTAATATATTACACATTTTGCTCTATCATAAATAATATTTCAGTATTTTTAAAAAAATATCAACTTTATGCCTACACAAAATATTTATATATATATATGTATAAATATATATATTTTGTTCATTATTTTTTATACATTTATATTAAAATTTTATATAAAAAATTTCATTAATGAATTTTTACATACTTATATTATAATTTTATATAGAAAAATAACAACTTATAGACAAACTATAAATTTTGATAAATAAACTAAAACTTCATTTTTGAAAATAGAAGGGCCAAAACACAAATAAAAAAAGATTTGCGTATGTGAACAGTACAAACGCAAATATGCAGTTTGGAGGAGAGAGAAACGGATCAAAACTCATTTTGGGTTTGCGTTTCGGTACCGGTTGGAGGATTTTTTGGTGATGCGTTTGGGTTTGAGGTACGGTTGGAGTTGCTCTGACATCCTCTTAATGCGATGCATAAGATAACCAATGGAAGCATATTGCAACACATGCTCAAAATGTTGTTTGCTTCAATGAGTTCGGTCTTACCCAGTGATAAAAAAGGTGACATAATAGCCTGATGCAAGCAGAAATATATTGTAGAGTTACGGGCTTTGGTATGTCATTTCATATACATTTTCTCTAACAATGCCCTAAATTTAGTTTCTGCATTTTTTGGCTGATTCACTTATGTGATGGATGTCAGCAGAGCAGCCGTGTTATTAATTATTATTGTTATTATTTATTTATTTATTTATTTCTGTGAGGCGTGACTACTTTTTCAGTTATTCTGTCTCTTGCATATGTGACTGATTTCAGTTTTCTTTATTTTTGGTATTAACCAATTAAATTTGTGGCACTATTTTCTCAAATTTTCATATTGACTAGCCTCGTTTCAATAAGTGCGACTCCAATAATATATTGTTCATTTGGAGGTGTATAATATGGAAAAAAAATTAAAAAAAATTTATTTTCAATGATTAATGTTAACTCTAATATAATTTGACATGTGTAAGATTATAATTAGTTGGAGATGAAAAATATATTTAATAAATAATATAATCATAGAGGAGGTTTAGAAGTACTTTTAAACATTTTCAATGCCACATATAATATATCATGCCACACAGTAATAAAAAAGAGAAATCCATGAACCATTGGAGATGCTCTAAGGCAAGCGACTCCCCTCACACCTCATGCACGTCTTTGGAAATAGGGGGCTTATCGCCTCAGCTCGCCACATGCCTTTTTAATTATTATTCTTATCTAGCTTTCAAGCGAAATGATCATATACAATCCAAAAGAATTAACAATTGGCGCAACTAAGAAAAGTAAAATTTTCAACTCTTGTCTAAATTTATATCTATATAATGGATCTTAGTTACTATAATTGGCATAGTTTTAGGCGGGAAAATATTTTTATCTATATTTAGCATATAATTAATATTATTTCTATTAGCAAATGTTACATATGAACATTAAAAACAATATTAATAATTTTTGTTTACTCAATGACTAATATTCATTAGTAATAAATTGACTAAAATAGAATATTGGATGATTAAATATATTTTCAATAAAATCATAATATTAATTTCAATGTAATTTGTTGATAAAATTGAAAAAAAACAATATTCATTATAATTATAAAAATTTATTTGATTAATTATATTATCATCTCATGGTTGTAGATATTAATTTTATTAACTATGCTCACTAATCAAAAGCACTTATAATATATAACAAATAATAAGAATAATTGTGTTTGAATCATATCAATTGAATGAATAATGTTACAAATAATAAAATTTGCTAAAATGTAGTGAACTTAACCATAAAAAAACATATCTCTATTAAATACACAACAGAACCATCCCATAACGGGATAGTAGCATTCCCCAATATGGTCGGGTGAAATTAAGAATTATAAGTTTCACATTAAAATATCTATATACGTCAAAAAACGTAGCAAAAAAATGTAACTTTTATTATGTATTGTTTAATAAAAAAATGAGTAAATAAGATAATATAGTCAAATATCGTAAGTAAAATTATAACACTTAGTAAAAATTGAATATAGAATTTATCTAAATATTTAAATTTTATATAAATACACTTATATTATATATGTTGAAAAAATAAATTAAAGAAATATATAAAAAATATTTACTATGAAAAAAAATTGTTTCATAAGACAAAATTTAAATTTAGTTATCAAACAAATTAATATTTCATGCATCTAGAACTATAATATACGAAAATAAATTTTATGGGTTAAACGTTAGTTAGCTATCGAGCATTATGCAAAATATTAATTACTAAAAAAAAGGTTAGAAAATCAAGATAACCGGTAATTTTATAAGTACATGTAGCTAAGTTATATACAAATATCATATTTAAAATCTTAGATAATTATAATATTTTATAAACTTATAAATAGTATTATTTATATGTTAAATAGTCAAGACCTACCAAAAAAATTCAAATAATAAAAAATATTCAAATAAACTTTATATTATTACTAACTTGATATATTATGTCAGATAAAATTAACATATTATCTTAAATAATTTGATAATATTGAATAATAAAAATTTATAGTATATCCCGTGCATCGCACGGGTATCAACACTAGTCAATATAATAATGTACATTTGAGTGACGGAAAAATCAACCAAGAATGACGGGCATCATTTAGCAGCCAGATTACTCTCCTTATTGTCAACAGCACAGCCATCGGGTGAAACTGTGCCACCGACTCGAGTGGGAGGCCAATATCGAAGTACAGATCTGCCGATAATATTCTTTGAAGGAAGGGGACCCCTAAGAATACACAAAAAGTCAGAGATAAGTAACACAATACTTATGATCAGGAAATATTTTCAATTTTGCACATTCTGAACACATGAAATTCTTACCAAACATGTGAGTCATAGCTGTTATTTCGATTGTCCCCCATAACAAAAACAGAGTTTTCTGGTACTTGCTGCAGCCAAATACCCATAAAATGATTCAAAGTAGAAAGTATGCTCAAGACAAAAATATTTTTGAAAAAACAGAAATAAGCTACACGTTTCATGCGAGATTTGGATGTTTCTGGTTTTTGAATAGTGGTTTTCCTAGTAAATTTTGATGAAAAATCAGAAGATGTCAGCCTGTCAGGAACTATCAAACTCTTAAAACTTCCAATGAACTCAATCAGGTCATAGTTTCAAGTTAAGTAGCAATAAGTTAATACAGTGTCTAGTGCCCCTTCTGCCGTGTACATGAACTTAAACTGATTTATTTTGTCAAACAAAAAAGACTTCAATCTATTCATGGATTCAGCTAGTTAAAATAAAAGAAGGAACTTATAGGTAAGCAGAAATCTGAACTTACAATTTGAGTCATTTCATATTTCGGTGCTTCAAGAATATAATCTTCACTTCGGACAACCCCATTCACAATCAATTTCCCATCATGAACCTGCATTAGATATAATAACACACANAAAAAAAAAAAAAAAAAAATTATACACCTAGCAGCACATTGGTAATGACTCAAACTATACCAAGAAAATAAAACTTGAAGCAGAAGCAGAAATTTGATTTCCTTAGATAATCAATTATTATATTGGCAGCTTATGTCTCTTCATTCATTCTCTTTCAAGATTGGGATCAAAGCCTGAATATAAGTAAATTAAAAATCCCATCATACTGACGTCAGAGAAAGGTAACACATATTATAAGTTGTGGAGAGAAGACGACGCGAAAACCCCAAAAGTGAACACCCACCCACCCACACACACAACTAAGCATCCTGACTGAAACTGTCCGCAATTACTAACCATACATTAAGTTCAAGCAACATGATAAGGCATAAAACAAGAATCATAGATTGTAGAAGAAGTCAATAATCTGTATTGCATATCAAAGGCATGCTTTCTAAGTAAGTAAAAGTACCAAACAAATTTGAGGAAACTACTAGCACATGGAGAGAACATGGGGCTCTTCTCTATGATATGTTCCTCATAATTCATAAGAGTATCCCATCACAGGATTTACAGGTCCTAAATCTTCCAATTCATTTGCTCAACAAATCTACCAAAGCAATTTAGCTAGAACATTGGATTCTGACAGATATATATATATATATATATATATAGATTCAATTCAAGATTACGACACTGAGAATAATTCGATTACCATCAATCAAGTCTATATCCAATTCACATGTAATGAACAAACCACAGTAAGTAAAATCCAAATATTGAACCTTAGCAGAAAAACTCTAGTATAGCGAGTTACAGAATCGACGGGGCAAATAACTAGGCTCGCCTATAATTTTATAAATAATTCATACTAACAGGATTCCAACAGCAAATACAAATTTAACCAAACAAAACTTTCTATATCATTACTTCCTATAAAATCTCACCTCCACAATATCGCCTGCTTTTGCAACTATCCTCTTAATAAAAACATCATCATCTGTGTAACCAACATCTTGTAGCACAGGCGGGCTTTTGAAAATAACAATGTCATTTGGACAGGGTTTCCGAAAGTAATATGAGACCTGAACATGGAGAAAGGCATATGTAAAGACATGCTCTGAAATCTTGTAACACGCCTTATCCAACATCCGAACACGTTACCTTTTCGGCAACAATTCTATCTCCAACATCAAACGTGGGGAACATAGACAAGGAGGGAATATATCTAGGCTCAGCCACAAACGACCTAAACGCGAGTGATATGGCCAAGGCCGCAATAACCGTTTTAGCATCGTCCGAATTGAAATTCAGCCATTCCGGCAAGAGCCGACCGCCTTCACCCGTTTCGCGCTCATCTCCGTCGTCGCCGCCGCCTCCGCCTCCGCCTCCGCAATCGTCTTTAACCGCCGTCGTTTTAGTGGCGTCCTCATTGGAACCATAACAACGAACTGTTGGCGGCCTCGTACGATTTAAGAATACGATCTTGGAGGATCTGAGGAGGGATTTGGAAGGGGCGCGGTTGAATTGGATTGGCTTTGAAAATGGGTTGAAATTGGTAGTGTGGTTGAGGCATTGGGAGCAGACGGGGTTAGGGTTATGGAGAGAATGAAAGGGAGGGCTGAGCTGAAGAGTTATCATGGGGTTGGGTTATCTCACGATTGAGCTGAGTTTAGTTGTGCAGTTTGGAGTAATGAGGGCATGGCATTTAGCGACGCGATTATTTCAGGGACAGGTTTTGCCCCGTTTGGCCATCTGTGTTCTTTCACCGGTTGTCTATATTAGTAAGTATTTTAGGGGGTGATTGGAAATAAAAAAAAAAAATGTTTTGATTTGATTTCATTGAATAATGTGAGTTAGTTTTAATAAAAAATAATTGAATGCTGTAGGATTTTGATTTTTTAGTAAGTTTTTGTAGAAAAAATTAATTTTTTTTATTTTTTTTAAACTAAAATAATTTAATTTTATATAAAACATTACTTTGAGTTTTAATTAAATTGTTAAATATATTTTTTTTAATCAATTAAATTACACATTCGTACATTAAATGAAAATATCAACCCGTGTTGAATTTTTTACTTATATCATATAAAAATATCGATATTATTTACTATTACATAAGTACAAAAATATATATCATAAATAAATAGAAATAATATAGTGATATGTATATGCATAAGTATAGAATATGTTTATTTAATATTAAAAAATAGATTAATTTTTTTACATAATTAGATGTCTAATACATCAAGTGTCGTATTAGTCGTGTTTCACAGTTTTTTAACTTTATATGTAATTTTAGAATTTATATAACTAATTATTTATTTTTATTACATTGACAACATACCAATTAGATTTGAAATAAATATCATTTTTAAAAAAATACATACCAATTTCTATTACTTGATTTAATTTAGTTTGATAAATTTTATTTATAAGGATATATATTACTGTTTGTATTATATATATAAATAAATAGTATACAAACGGACTTCATAATATCAATCCAAATGCAACACACTAATTAAGATTTTTTTTCTTGACAATAGTAACCCTATTTAATGGATGTTATGGGAAACGATGGAAATGAGATATAAAGAGACACTGTGTATTAGATGGGGGGTTAAAAATGGTAAAATATGAACAAAATATCTAAAACGACATTTAGTTTTTCAATGATCAATTAAGCTAATGTGATAAATAATAAAAATAGGAGGGAGTATATATTATTATATATTTTAGTATGACACATGTTACTTGTGTTATATTATAATAAATTTTCTACCTTATAACATATAACTATATTAAACATAAATATATTAATTGGTAATAATTTTATTTTCTAATTAATTTTAATAAATAATTTTTTTATTATTATAAATATAAATATAATTTATTTATTTTATATATACAATATCGATGTCAAATCGAAGCTTATCAAAAGATGATTAATTTGATATATTATATATGTAAAACCGATAAGAAATACAAAAGTTATCAACTTTTAAAATATATTTTCAATTCAATGGTTATAATAGGAAACGCTATTAAAATACAATTAATATAAATATTAATTTATATCCAAGTCTAACTCCAAAATATGATTTTTTGCCAAGTAGGATTCCGAAGCATGAAAGTTTACCACGTAGGCTCAACGCATTCTGAAATTATATATAGAGGGGATTTAAAATGTAATCATTCAGGTTTAATTTTGAAAAATGTATTATGATTAGTTATTAATGAGAGTTTAGTTTATATTAAAATAATTTAAAATAAATAATCAAAGTTGATTTGATGTAAAAGTAGAAGAGCGATGATGTAAAGTGATAATTATTAGTTAAAATTATGTAACTGGATGAATAGTGGTTTAAAGTTGATGTGATATGTAATATAATTTATTAATATTATTTAATTATATTGGTAATATTTAGGAAAATGAGGTTGAGTAAAAGTTGAGTTAGATTTTGAGTATGAATTGAAAAAAATAAAATTTAAACAAAATACACCCTTAATGTTAACGTTCTTTTTCGTCAACTCGACCACCAAGACAGTCGTTGTCTATTTAGGTATTGGTAACATAGAACCTCCGACAGGCTGGGAAACGATCTGCTCATGCTCTCCCTCGCCAATTGAATGCCTCGATACCTACAAAAACTCTCACGCCGGAGGGATTTTTCGGTGAAGAGTCTCGGATACTTAAATGAGTATGTGTATGAGATCAATTCTCAAGAGTATAATAGAACGTAATGGATAAAATCACAAGTCTCACCCCTATATATAGGGGTGAGGTACTTGTTCTAGGAGCTGCCCGGATGTGCTGAGTCAGCTGCCCAAACTGTCCGACTGCCTAGTCGTACAACACACACTAGAGGTGTGTCAGGGACAATAATAGAATATGGGCCAATCAGGCCTTGCCACGTGTCCCATCACATGGGAGTTTGTTTCCCTTGATATCTTCCCGAAGGCTTGACCAATTCTTGGTCGACTTGTTGTTGTAGGTCGAGTTTCGACTAGGCTATCTGAGGGCTTTGGCTTGACCTACTTTTTTCGTACCGAAATTTCCTTTAAGTTGTCTTCCAGTCCAAAGGCTCTTGTTGTTAGAGCCTTTCACAAATATCTATACCGCGCGCCTTGCATCCTCGCCCTTTGGCCCGCGCGTGCTCGCCAATCCTGTTTTGGTCCAGTAAAATTGGTATTTCCAATAGTTGGATTAATTAACAAGACTTAATTAAATAATTTGATTATTTAATTAAATATAATTTTGATTAGATGTCAATTAAAAAGATAGAATAAATTAATCAATTGGATTGATTAATTGGGTTTTGGATATTAATTAAGTAATTATTGGAATTACTAAATTATTAGTTGGATTTTAAAGTGTGACTTTAAAATTCAAATCCAAATATTAATATGATTACATATGAAAAGCCTACATAAAAGAGGATATTTTATTTTTATGGGAGATAAGATTTTGACCAATTAATTTTGAAAGTTAGTGTCATAAATTATGTGTCATTACTTTTAATTAATCTTTAATTAAGATTAAAGATTAAAATAAAAAAAAATATAAGATATATGTCAGGTGGGGGGTTGTTAGCTGCTCCATCTTATCCTCATCCTAATTAATAAAAGGTAGATGGAAGTTATGTCACTCCATATCCTTTGCTATTATATATATATATATATATATATATATATATATATATATATATATATATATATGAGTACATATGATGTATAGTAAGCTAAGCTCCCTATTATTTTCAAGAAGCATCAGATGCTCTCGGCTTTTAGAAAGAAAGAAAAAAAAAATCTCCTCTCTTCTTTGTCTTCTTATACGAATTCAATACCGGGAAATTTCTACTAGCGAAGATTGTTCTCGGAGTCAGAATAAAAAAGGTGGACTTGATTAGAGGGGAGACACGTGGATCCCTTACGGCGAAACATACGGTGATAGCCACATAACCGGGAATTGATTTCTTCTCCATCATCGTTTTACGAAGAAAATTAGGAGGTGATTTTTCGAAATTCTCTACGAATCAAAATATGTACTTTTACGTGATTTTAAAAGATGCCAATCGTTTCAATCGCTACGTGAACAGAGGGGTTTAGTATTTGAATGAACTTACTTATGTATTTACTGTTTCTACTACTTAGAGCAATTCTGTGTAATCCCCCACGATTTCACTGAATAAGAGGTCAAGAGTTATATTTGAAAATGAAATAAAAGGAAGCACGAGGTAGCAAGTCGATCAGATAAGTTGCGAGCTCCATCAGCAGGATCGGAGACAAACAACTACTCTTAGAGCCAGGGGCGGATCTAGGAAAAATTTTTGGGAGGGGCCAAACCGGATTGTGTTTTTTCAACTAGTGAAAATTTGATTTCATATAATTCATATATTTAAATGAGTCAAACTAGAACGACTATTCAACTTTCTTATTGAACAAATCGAGTTGATTGGAGTTTACACAAGTTGAGTTTGAGCTCATATTTTTATTTATTTATTAAATGGTCGAGCTGATTTGACTCATTTATTAAACTATCACAAGCTTACACATGAGGTATTCAACATGACTCGGCACGAATAACATTTCGAGAGGACCAATATAATTTTTAATATCTCTCTCACACACATATACATATATATAGGCGTAAACTGCGTTTTAAAATGGATATAATAATTAGTAACTTGCACTAACATATACATAACTTCTTAATTTTGCTAGTTTAAATGCTCAACGTTCTTTACACTCACGAAACTCATTCATGAATTAAAAATGAGGCTTTATATATGATCCATGTGTTCTTGAGCAAATGATACATCTCTTCAACAATTTTTTTATCCAACTGTCCAAGCTAGAGAGGATGAATTAAGACATTTAAGAATGATGAATAAATACACACATTGAGTATTATTCTAATAAGGATAAATAAATTAAATTATGAACATGAGTATATATTAAACTACTCACAAATATAAGAGGATGATCAAATACTTAGAAGAATCAAGCACTTGTTGACGAATGATTAATGCTGCGAAATTTTTTTTTAGCTTGCCTGTGCGAATACGCTCTCTGCTATGGCTCTTGAGTTGAGGATATGAGGGGTGGGGCTATTTTTTAAGTTAACTCAAATAATTTGATTAGTTTTATTAATAAGAAATAATAATATAATTATAACATAAAAGGTGAAAGTTGGGCTTTGTGTGTTCTTTTAATATATCTCTAATGGGCCTTTATTCTAACCCACCTAATCAAAGTCAATATATCTTTAGTTAAATGATTAGGGAGGATAATTGTTGTTGTCTTGAGTTAACAACTTAAAATTAAACACAGCAGGTGTAAAGAAAACTAAGATAATTGTTCAATTTGATTTTATTTGTTATAATCACGAGTACAGAAGTCGGTTATTTGTTGAAAACCGAGATTATCTTGAGTTCGTGTACAATGTGTTCGAAAAAAAAGATCCTCGTACTATCATCCATTTTGCTATTTATAGTACGGTGGCTTTTGTCTTTTTCCTTGAAATGGATAAAGATGCATTTAATGTTGAGCTGCTTCACTTGAAGCGGCGGGAAACATCAATGATTGCCTTTTTGTTTCGTTGGTCCAATCAGATGCTTCTAATGATTACTTTCTGTTGGAATATTCAAACTTCGTGATAGTCGGTTGAACTGAAGTCGGTTTATTTATGTTGGCTTCAGATGTCGGTTTTTTCGAAGACCTTCCGGAGTCGGTAACTATGTAGAAGT